AAAAGGGGTAAAAAACGAGGGTGATATCATGCTAGGAGTCTACTACAGGCCACCTAGCCAGGTGGAAGAGGTGGATGAGGCCTTTTTTAAACAATTAACAAAACTATCCAAAGCCCAAGATTTGGTGGTGATGGGGGACTTCAACTATCCAGACATATGTTGGGAAACTAACACAGCGGGGCACAGGCTATCCAATAAGTTTCTGGACTGCATTGGAGACAACTTTCTGTTTCAGAAGGTTGAAAAAGCTACCAGAGGAGAAGCTGTTCTGGATTTGGTTTTAACAAATAGGGAGGAACTAGTTGAGAACTTGAAAGTGGAAGACAGTATAGGGGACAGTGATCATGAAATAATAGAGTTCATGATCTTAAGGAAAGGTAGAAGGGAGACCAGCACAATTGAGGTTATGGATTTCAGGAAGGCAGATTTTGATAAGCTCAGAGAACTTGTAGGTAAGGTCCCATGGGAAGCAAGACTGAAGGGAAAAACAACTGAGGAGAGTTGGAAGTATTTCAAAGGGACGTTGTTAAGGGCCCAAAAGCAAACAATTCCGCTGTGTAGGAAAGATAGAAAATATGGCAAAAGACCAGCTTGGCTTAACAAGGAGATCTTGCATGATCTCAAAATAAAAAAGGAGTCATATAAAAAATGGAAACTAGGACAACTAACAAAGGATGAATATAGGCAAGCAACACGGGAATGCAGGGGCAAGATTAGAAAGGCAAAGGCACAAAATGAGATCAAACTAGCTACAGGCATAAAGGGAAACAAGAAGACCTTTTATAAATACATTAAAAGCAAGAGGAAGACCAAGGACAGGGTAGGCCCACTGCTTAGTGAGGAGGGAGAAGCAGTAACAGGGAACTTGGAAATGGCGGAGATGCTCAATGACTTCTTTGTTTCGGTCTTCACCGAGAAGTCTGGAGGTGTGCCTAACGTAGTGAATACAAGCAGAGAGAGGGTAAGTTTAGAAGATAGGATACACAAAGAACAAGTTAAAAATCACTTAGGAAAGTTAGATGTCAGCAAGTCACCAGGTCCTGATGAAATGCATCCCAGGATACTCAAGGAGCTGATAGAGGAGGTATCTGAGCCTTTAGCTATGATCTTTGAAAAATCATGGCAGACAGGGGAGATTCCAGAAGACTGGAAAAGGGCAAATATTGTGCCCATCTATAAAAAGGGGAATAAGAACAACCCAGGAAATTATAGACCGGTCAGTTTAACGTCTGTCCCAGGGAAGATAATGGAGCAGGTAATTAAGGAAATCATATGCAAACACTTGGAAGGTAATAAAGTGATAGGGAATAGCCAGCATGGGTTTGTGAAGAACAAGTCATGCCAAACTAATCTGATAGCTTTCTTTGATAGGATAACGAGCCTTGTGGATAAGGGAGAAGCGGTGGATGTCATATACCTAGACTTTAGTAAGGCATTTGATACGGTCTCGCATGATATTCTTATTGATAAACTAGGCAAATATAACTTAGATAGGGCCACGATAAGGTGGGTGCATAATTGGCTGGATAACCGTAGTCAGAGAGTTGTTGTTAACGGTTCTAAATCCTGCTGGAAAGGGATAACAAGTGGAGTTCCTCAAGGGTCTGTTTTGGGACCCGTACTGTTCAATATCTTCATCAATGATGTAGATATTGGGATAGAGAGTATGCTTATTAAGTTTGCAGATGATACCAAACTGGGTGGGGTTGCGACTTCTTTGGAGGATAGGGACATAATTCAAAATGACCTTAGCAAGTTAGAGAAATGGTCAGAGGTAAACAGGATGAGGTTTAATAAAGAGAAATGCAAAGTGCTCCACTTAGGAAGGAACAATCAGTTCCATACATACAAGATGGGAAGCGACTGTCTAGGAAGGAGCATGGCGGAAAGGGATCTAGGGGTCATAGTGGACCACAAGTTGAATATGAGTCAACAGTGTGATGCTGTTGCAAAAAAAGCAAATATGATTCTAGGTTGTATCAACAGGTGTGTTGTAAGCAAAACTCGTGAAGTCATTCTGCCGCTCTACTCTGTACTAGTTAGGCCTCAGCTGGAGTACTGTGTCCAGTTCTGGGCGCCACATTTCAAGAAAGATGTGGAGAAATTGGAAAGGGTACAGAGAAGAGCGACAAGAATGATTAAAGGTTTAGAGAACATGACCTATGAAGCCAGGCTTCGTGAACTGGGCTTGTTTAGTTTGGAAAAACGAAGATTAAGGGGGGACATGATAGTGGTTTTCAAATATCTAAAAGGGTGTCACAAGGAGGAAGGAGAAAATTTGTTCCTCTTGGTTTCTGAGGACAGGACAAGGAGTAATGGGCTTAAAGTGCAGCAGGGGAGGTTTAGATTGGACATTAGGAAAAAATTCCTAACTGTCAGGGTGGTCAAATATTGGAATAAATTGCCAAGGGAGGTGGTGGAATCTCCCTCTCTGGAGATATTTAAGAACAGGTTACATAGACATCTGTCAGGGATGGTGTAGACGGAGCTTGGTCCTGCCTTGAGGGTGGGGGGCTGGCCTCGATGCCCTCTCGAGGTCCCTTCCAGTCCTATGATTCTATGATTCTATGATCTAAATCATTGATGAAGATTTTGAAGAGAGCCAGTCCCAAAACAGACCCCCTGCGGAACCCCAAAAAAGGAGGGTGGAAAGGGAAACTGAAGGGAGAGACTGCTCTAAATGCACCAAAGAGCAGTATTGCCAACCCAAAACTCACAAGGAATGCCTACACAAAGTTATGAGAGTGGTCTACAAATCATAAGATTTTTAAAAATGGCCATCGGAGCTTTCTTGAGCAAAAGCCAGTGTAGACGCTCTCTTGCACAAATACTTTTAACGGAAAAACTTTTCCGTTAAAAGTATTTGTGCAAAATCATGCCAGTCTACACGCAGCCTATATGTTCCATGGGTTCTGCGGGAAGCCAGGGTATCTGCACAAACTGTGGCTCCCATAGGAGGTTTTCTGTGCTGGCTCCCTGGCAGAATGGGATTTCCTTGCATTCCTAGATAGTGGTTATGCAGAGGGGATTGTGTATTAATTTTTTCCATGGTAATGTTCGGGGTTGAGAGGGTGGATGTCCATGGACATAAGGGGTATTAGTTTGCTCTGTATATTTTCTTAAATAGCTGTATCTTTTTGCTTCCCTATTGTTGCTTCTCTGTACATTTTTCAAGTGCAAGGGAGGAGTTAAAATTTTTCTGTGCTTTTTTGGGGGGCTGTTTTACATGTTGCTGTTTTGTAATGTTGCTCACTTTTTTCCACGTTGACATTTTTATTCACATTATACTCATAGGTCAATACCAATACCTGTCTAAGTCTCATTGTCCTCATTGTGTTCTACTTAACAAAGAGCAGCCACCTTCAGGAAACTTCAACTAGCACAGAATTCTGCAACACCAGGCTACTGCGAGCATATCAGGGCTTTTGCTCCATTCTCCCCACAGACTTCCCACAGAATGCTGGTCAAGTAAAGTCCCAGGTGTTGGTCCTTACCTTCAAAGTGTTGAGTGATCTAAGTCCAACATATCTAAAAGAGCACCTAAAGCTCTAGGATGAAGTCTGTGGTTGATAACTTTGCTTCTTGGGCACAGTGAAACTTTCTACCCTAAGGGTAAATCTCATCTGGGCAGAAGAAAGATATTTATTGGGGGCTGGTCAGAGACTATGGAACGAAGTCTCATGGGAACTAAGGCCTATCATATGCTTTACCATTTTCTGTCCAAGTGCAAGGTGCACTTCTTAATTTGGCCATAGAATACAGTGTACCATAAGTTCTGACTCTAGGTGCTGTGGGAAAAATTAGCAGGTGCTCAGCACCTGCTAGTAGCCAAGCTCTCCTCTCTTTATTTCCCTCCCCACTGCACCTCTTGCCCGCTCTGGGAGTGGGATGAGTGGGGATAAGGCGTGCTTGGGTGAGGGCATGGAGGCTTGGGAGTAGGGGTGGAATGGAAGTGGAGCAAGGGCAGAGGAGGAACAGGAAGAGATGAGGTGGGGGGCTTAAGCAAAGGGACTGGATGGAGGTGGAGCAGAGGTGGGAAGATGCAGGGCATGAGTGTGGGGCAGGGAGGGGTAAGTGGAAAGCATCTCCTGGTTAGAAGAGAAGATGGTGCCTATGCAGTGTACATTTTAAAAAAACAAAATTTACACACAGTTGTCCTCTAGGTATGTGAAAGAATAAGTATGTTAGAGAGAATGAACCAGACATGACAGTCGTTGTGTTTCTTAATGGACTTAATGCTCAGCTGCTAAGGTGATGGCAGTGGTATAAGAACCTATAAGAATAGAATAACCTAGAATCTATAATCTGTGGACTCCTTCATGAATGACTTTTCTAGTTCATATTTAAAAGGTAGAGCTAAAACATACGTTAGGGCTGTGTCTAGACTGGCCAGTTTTTCTGGAAAATCAGCCACTTTTCCGGAAAAACTTGCCAGCTGTCTACACTGGCCGCTTGAATTTCCGCAAAAGCATTGACTTCCTACTGTAAGAAATCAGTGCTTCTTGCGGAAATACTATGCTGCTCCCGTTCGGACAAAAGTCCCTTTTTTGCGCAAAAGGGCCAGTGTAGACAGTTCAGATTTGTTTTCTGCAAAAAAGCCCCGATCGCGAAAATGGCGATCGAGGCTTTTTTGCGGAAAAGCGCGTCTAGATTGGCACAGACGCTTTTCTGCAAAAAGTGCTTTTGCGGAAAAGCGTCCGTGCCAATCTAGACACTCTGTTCCGAAAATGCTTTTAACGGAAAACTTTTCTGTTAAAAGCATTTCTGGAAAATCATGCCAGTCTAGACGTAGCCTAGAAGTTGTTCTCTTGTAATGTTTCCCCTAGTTTTCAAATGTCTTTTTCTTGTAGTAAATCAAATGGGATAAGTCTGGCAGCTAGCAACTGAGGTAAAAGGAAGCAAACTTTCAGCATTTTGGAAATTATAATTTTTTATTGGTAATGTTTTAACTTGTTATTTATTAATACCTATTTGTATAAACCATTAACCAGAAAGTCCTCTCCTAATAATCAGTAGCTATTATTACATACATAATGTTAAAGCACTTTTGTTTCACACCCTCACTATATCTGGCCACATTCTTGGGAAAGCATGAAGGGGGAACAAATAAAACCTTGTAGAAATGTGATAAGATTCTACCCCTTCATATTTTCAACATCTGTCTACTTTACATTACTTAGGACTTGGATCTCACATTCTTAAAATGATAAATTCCCATGTACATCAATGGAAGAGGATCAGACCAAATTACTTTATTAATGTCAGTTTTGGCCTCAGCCCCATTATATTTGTGGAATCTGCTTGCTGAGAGTGTTTTGAGATCTTTCCAAAATATACAGGAAGAATCTATTCCATGTAGGAAGTTTAGCAGCTGTCTCCAGCTGAGACGCAGTTATGGACACTAGACCTTTCAGGCCAGCTGTTCTGTCCGATGATTTTCTCATGAAGTGGGGCTCATTCACATAAACAGTGGCTTCTTCTAATGTCTTTTAAAACATTTTGTTGACATTTTCCGATAATACAGGAGACACTGGAAAACACAGATGTAAGACATTATGGGGTAGTGAGTAGATAAGCATGAATATTCTTATCTAAAATAGAATATTCTAATCTCCCTAAATTCCACATATATAGCAATCTTCAGATCAAAGCAAGGGTGGAGTTTGGGATGGAAGTTTGAGATCATTAGTTCAAGGGATTTCTGATGAATGGGGGGATATCATCTTAACTTTGCATATTTTTGATTGCTAAGGGCTATATTTTGATTATTCTTGTAACTAACTGTCTTGTAGTGGGTGCTAATTGCATTTTAAGGTTTTAATGTTTGTATGCAAAGAATATGTTACAACCTGACTCATGAGGATCCAAGTAGGAACATAGCCTCAGAGTAACTACTCCCTTCAGCCACAGCTCCTGATAAACCCTTCTATATATACAGTGCAATGGTCTCAGCGGAGATGGACCACAGGCTTTTGCTCAGGGCTTTGGACCAAGATGTTCAAACAAGGCAGCTGCATAGGGTGGCTGATTCTGCTTAAGGCAGCAGGAACAGTTGGGTCAAATCTGAGTGGCACTGCAACCTCATGTACCAGGTTGCAATCTGCTCATTCATATTTGACCTGGATGACCCTCCATCACAATGAAGAGGTGGCTAGGACAAATCTGAGTGAGTAGCACTTTGACCTGGAATTTGTTCCCCTACACCAGTGTTTCCCAACCAGGGTTCCACAGAACCCTGGGGTTCCACAGATCATCGTCAGGGGTTCCGTGAGAAATCGTGGTATAAATAAATAATTTTTTTTCTTATTTTTTTCTTACAATGTAAGCTGATATATATATATATATATATATATAACAGCTCTTTACAAACCAATTTTCTTGACAATAATTTAGCAGTAATTGAATTGTACTCCCCGCTGTCAACTTTTTCTGGCCGAGCAAATGTTTTCATAGGTCGGGATTCCTCAGAATATGAAAATTATTTTAGGGGTTCCTCCATGGGAAAAAGGTTGAGAATCACTGCCCTACACTGTTCTGTCCTAACTACTGAATGATCAAAAGGCTGGATGCAGAGTCTGATAAACTCCTTTAGGGGGTGCGTCTCTCTGGTTGAGAAACTCTGTTGAGGGTGGTGAGGAAGGAAGGCAGTATATTGAGGTTTTACTGAAGATGGCAAACTGTCCTGAGTGGCCTTTGGGCATACAGGCTACAAAAACTGCTCCCAATTATCCCTGAAGGCCTTTGGAAAATGGAATTCTAAAATACTAAAGGTAAAGTGTATAGAATTTAAGGCCTAAGATATTTAAATTTTACCAAGCAGACTATCTGTATCCTACATAGCAAAGCCAATGATACGTGGTAGGGCCTTCAATGGAGCAACGCCAATGTGGACCTATATTTTCAGAGGAAGATTATTAATTATAGGTAAGAGATTAGTTTAGGTTTGTTTTACTCCATTCTTCCTAAACCTAAGAAGTAGGTTGGGCAGAGCAGAGACAAGAAGCATCTAAATTGATGCACTTTATAATGCTAAAGGATGGATTTTGGTTGACCTTTATGTGATTCCACAGTGGTGAAAAGGGAATTAGGAGGCTTCCCCACATAAGGAGACAGAACTGCATTCCTAACTCAAGGAAGCACAGGAACTTCAACTGTATTGCTCTGTCTCCTGGGAACTATTCATCCAAAAAGCTGTGGGGAGTAGCCAGAGCCACATTATGGCTCTTCAAGAGTGAGGCAAACTGAGCTTTCCTCTGTGCAAGTGAAGAGCTCTTGGAAACTTTCTCCAGTTCATGGTGGAAAGATTCCTGATGCTCCCATTAAAAACACATATCTCTGCACCATGAGCTAAGTGTTATCAGCATAATTTAGCCCTAATGAATTAGGCCTCACAACAACTCTGCAGTACTGACCTATCACAGGTACAATGTAGATTTATGCTTGATTGATACTTTTTCTGATGTGTAACATTTTTCATTTATTAACTAACTTGGATCAGACATTAAAAGAAGAGCTGTTTTTCCAAGTAGCTGATTAATCACTGTGATTAAAAAGAATGTATAGGAACAGATGGCAGGAAGACAGGATTTAAGCAAGGGACAGATGCATCCACATTAGGGAGCTTGGATAAATCTCTTGATCATGTCTGCTACAGAAATTCACTGTTTACTTAGGTGGTGAAGCATGGCTACATGGAACAATTAGCAATTGCTGTTGTGTATGTTTGGGATATTGCTCCGTTGGATTATCACTAAATCCTATTACAAATTGAGTCCTTTTTCCATAGAGAACATAATTTTGGGGATGCCAATATCCTCATTCCTAAGGTAAGATTGTGTAGTTGGACTCACAGATAAGCCTCTACAATGTCTGGGGAAACAATGTTGTGGAAATGTCTGATCAAAGACCCTCTCAAAAAAATCGGAGAAAGCTAATGTGAGAGCCAGCTTTTTAAACATGTCCTTAAAAAGGGAGAGGGAGCGCATGCAATATGAGGAAGACAAGAGAATAAAATTTAATTACTGCTGTATAACCAAAGTACCAGCTTATCCTTACAACAGAAAGTCTGAGAAATAATCAAACGTATGAAGGGTATAGTATCATTATTCACATGACTCTTGTGTGCATATATAAGTGTATTAGAAAAGCATACCAGCTCAGAACAGCTATTGGACAGTTCACATTTCCATATTTTGCACATCGGGAGAAATAACCCCAACTATACGTATAGTATGATGGGGGCTAATTTGGCTATGACAAATCAGGAAAGAGATCTTGGAATTATCATGGACAGTTCTCTGAAAACTTCCACGCAGTGTGCATCGGCAGTCAAAAAGGCAAATAGGATGCTAAGAATTATTAGGAAAGGGATAGAAAATAAGACCCAGAATATCTTACTGCCCCTGTATAAAACTATGGTACGCCCACATCTTGAATACTGTGTACAGATGTGGTCTCCTCACCTCAAAAAAGATATTTTGGCCTTGGAAAGGGTTCAGAAAAGGGCAACTAAAATGATTAGGGGTTTGGAACGGGTCCTATATGAGGAGAGGTTAAAGCGACTGAGACTTTTCAGTTTAGAAAAGAGGAGACTGAGGGGGGATCTGATAGAGGTCTATAAAATCATGAGTGGTATGGAGCGGGCTGATAAAGAAAAGTTATTTATTAGTTCCCTAAATAGAAGAACTAGAGGACACCAAATGAAATTAATGGGGAGCAGGTTTTAAACTAATAAAAGAAAGTTCTTCACACAGTGTGTAGTCTACCTGTGGAACTCCTTGCCAGAGGAGGCTGTGAAGGATAGGACTATAATAGAGTTTAAAGAGAAGCTAGATAATTTCATGGAGGTTAGGTCCATAAAAGGCTATTAGCCAGTGGATAAATGGTATCCTTGGCCTCTGTTTGTCAGAGGCTGGAGAGGGAGGGCAGGAGACAAATCGCTTGATCATTATCTTCGGTCCACCCTCTCTGGGGCACCTGGTGCTGGCCACTGTCGGTAGACAGGATACTGGGCTAGATGGACCTTTGGTCTGACCCAGTACGGCCATTCTTATGTTCTTATGTATTATATGTTACAGCATATTGCCTATCCAGTTCTATATAAGTTAGGAAAACTCCTTTTTCCCTCTCCAGCACTGTGTAGTCACATAAGGGTAAACTGCAGCCCAGCAATTAGTGTTTATGAAGTACTTCGAAATCCTTGGATGGACAGCATGTAGAAGTTCTAAGGGTTAGCAACACAGGTTACCACAAACATATCAAATCTGTCCTCTGCACTCTACTATGGCTTCCCATATAATTTCAAATAAAGTTATTAATCCTTATCTTGGAATGCTCCATGAGCGGAGCCCTATCTATCCAAAGATTGCCTCACGTTTTGGAATGAAAACCATGTTTGACAACTACCACCTGGTGGCACAGTGGCTCTCTCAACAATAAGAGTAAAGCTTGTCTGTGCAGAAAACTTTCTCCAGGGCAGACTGAGACCATGGAATTCCCTTTTCAAGAAACGAAGAACCATCATGAACCTCACTGCTTTCCACTACCTTTCTCTGACCTTGCCTTCTCTATTGTAAACACGCAGCAAGAAGATTTATATTTAAAAAAAATACACTACCAAACCAGGTGACCATATTTCTCTATGCTGAATACAGGATATCTGGTAAAATTACTCATATTTAAGCAAGCTCAATGGCACTCAGTAGGAACTATGCAGTAAAACCATTCAAATTAACATTAAGTTGGCCCAGCCCCTATTAAAAACACATATTGTATAGCTGGATTCTTTGTATTTACCTCCTTATCTTTTAAGGCTTTAAGTTTCACACTGGGGGAGGTAACACACACACACTCCCATACACCTCTCTTACACGGGGGTGGGGTGACGTTGACCAGTATTCTCTGCTCCATGCCTGGGTGAGTCCCCAGGACAGACTCAGTTCTCCTGGCACTACGTCATCCCAAGGCAACATGCAGCGGTCGGGGGGAGGGGGCGGAGGGGGAGGAATATGCAAGTCACATGCCTCCTCCCCAGATTAATGCTAGGGTTTGTGCCAGAATTTGGCCAGCAACAGCCTTTCTGCTCTGTGTAGGAGAGAAGGGACAGAAGCTGCTTCCAACTATGGCGGGTGGAGTTGAAGGGATGACCTGGCCTATGTCTTTGCAGAGCTCAGCTCTCCCCTCGCCTGCTTTTCTGTGGCTGGAAGCAGCTTGTCCGTTCCTGCCAGCACAGTATCAAAAGATAGCTAACACCTCCAGACTGCTGGCCACCAATATAACCCAGCCACTTCCAGTCCCCAGGCTACAGCATGGGCAGAAAGGGGTTAAGCCCTAAGGATGGGCTGTGCACAAGGGCTCAAGGATCCTGTGAACCCAGCCAGAAAGGTGCCTCAGCAAGGGAAGGTGCCTAGGAGATAGAGCAGCTCCACAATCCCTGGGGGCAAGACCTAGGGTGGGATGGATGAAGATGATGTTAAGCCCCTGCTTGTATGGTCGGGGCTCCAACACACTGGAAATGTTTCCTCCCTCCCTTTCCAGAGCTTAGCTGAGGCATGGCAAGGCTGCCCTGTGTCAGGGCTATGCAGGACTGGCACATGTGGTGCTTAGCTCCTGACCAGCAAACCAGGGTGGAAGGTCTTGGGGCTTTGCTGGGGCGCCAGCCCAGCCAGAGGCAGTGGGAGAAGGAAGGAGGCTGCAGGGCAGACTTTTGGTGTGCTGAGCACTCTGAGCAGGGGCGGATTCTCTGCAAGCACTGCGAGTGGGACATGCCTCTCTGGGGTGGCATATGGAGGAGGAGTGGGGCTAGGAGGGCTACAGGGGCAAACAGGCAGAAGACAGCAACTGGGGGAGCTTGTAAAGGGCCAATGGGTGTGCAGCAGAGGTGACATAACCAGCTGCCATCTGGTGCCCACTCACACTCACCAGCCACAGCAGCTTGCATTGAGTGACGGCTGGAAATGGGACAGGGGATGAGACCCTGTTGGCTGAGAGCCAGCATGTAGTGGAGGCTGAACGATGGACCACAGACTAGCTGCCAGCAACTGGTGCCCTAGTCGAACCATGCAATCTGTGCCCCCACCTCCAAAACCCTCAATGATATTGTGCCACCATTTGGCTCCCCATTTAACTTGGTGCCCTAGGCGACTGCCTAGTTCGCCTATATGGATGGGCCACCCCTGATGAACCAGCATAGAGCATGGCCATATGCTGCAGCATTGCCCTGCTGCCAGCCTTGCATGCCCACCCCCATTGTCAGTCATTGGACACCTCTCTCACTCTCTACTGGTGGGAAGATGAATGGTAAGCAGGATCATCCCGTACTTATGGAGCGAAGACACAAAATATGGGGCAATTTGCCTATTTTTAAGAAAAATTATGGACACCTGCAGGGGGGCTTCAATACAGGACTGTCCCTTTAAAACGGGATATCTTATCATCCTGCTACCAAAACAAGACACTGTACTGCACACTTTTCTCCCTCTGGGGAGAGGAGGAGAGAACAAACAACATGTGACAGATTTGTTGTCATGTTGCTTAATGCTCTTTTGGAAGATGCCCAAATACTAGCGATGAATGCAGTATAAAAACCTGTATAGCAGTCTCACTTGTTGTAACTAGGAGACCTGGAAATAGTAGCATTGTGCACATAGTACATTTGTACTAGTCTGTGGCTGACTGGGAACTACAATATTGTCTAAGCCTTAACTATTAACTTAACTGATAACTATTGGAATAATGTTTATTATTAGCTTCCTATTGAACTGAATTGACTAAAAACTGTACTGTGATTAAAGCAGAAAGACTATAGTCCTTAGTAGAAACTGAAATACATTATATTTGTATTGTGTTGAAAAAGATATTCAAAAAGGAAAATTCTGATGATATCAGTAACTCATGGGTTACTCTGGTTCTCATTCCTATTTTAACTTAAACAAAGACAAGGCCATCAGTCATGTACTGGAAGAGAAGTAGGAATATTCACAACTACAAGTTAATGACTATTTATCTTTCCGTAGCACGCTGTATAACGTTTAGTTTACATTTCTCACTAAAAGTACACTGTATTTTGCACATGGAAACATACACACACTTTATGTCAACTACTGAAGGGGGGGGGGCATTTAAATTTCAATTTATTTTATCTTCAATTACAGATATAGTGATAATTTCTAAATCAACAGGGTACAAATATAAATTCTCACTCATCAGAAAAACAATTTGGAAATATTTTAAAGTATATTCACTAACTGGATAAAGTAATATTTGTACTTTGGCAGTTTTGAGGATACATTATGTGAATGCAGTTTGCAAAGCCTTGTCCCTTTGGGATTTGCCAGGATGATGACATATGGGATATGCAGAATAGTTATACTTCTAGGAAGAGTGCATAAACAAACAAGAAATCATAGAAATATACACTTGATATTATTCAGGATATTCATGTGTCTGAGAAACAGCTTCTGAGATGCTACAATAATACATTGCTGTCTGGCTGTCAGATTAGTTTTATATAAAACTATGTTTTCTGTGAAATATCCAGAGTATGATGAGATAGTGGTATACTACAAGGCTGTGTCTACATTGGCAAGATTTTGTGCAAAATCTTGCCACTTGTCTACACTGTCCGCGAGTACTTGCGCAAGAACACTGACGTTCTAATGTATAAAATCAGTGCTTCTTGTGCAAATACTCTGACGCTCCCGCTCAGGGATAAGCCCTCTTGCACAACTGTTCTTGCACAAGAGGCCAGTGTAGACAGGCAATGTTAATTTCTTGCGCAAGAAAGCCCAATGGCTAAAATGGCCATCAGAGCTTTTTTGCGCAAGAGAGCGTCTATACTGGCACGGATGCTTTTGCGCAAAAGCACATCTCTTGCACAAAGGCACATGCCAGTATAGATGCTCTCTTGCGCAAATACTTTAACACAAAAACTCTTGCGTTAAAAGTATTTGTGCAAAATCTTGCCAATGTAGACGTAGCCCAAATGTTTTAGCAGCTCTCATTTGGAATAAGTGGCTCACTTGTGGTTTTGCCAATGGTGAACGTGGTTATACCAAATTCATGCCATACTATACTTTCATGTAGTTGCATCCTCTCTAACATTTCCTATCGTTTTGAGTGTTAACGGTTCAACTGCAATGTTCTGCTAATGTAGATTTTTGTATGGATTATTTAACAAAGGTAAAATTAATAGGCTGATGTATACTATTTAACGTAAGTTTAATGTATTAAGGAAACTTTTAAAAGTTTTCCTTCAGATCTGTAATTAACAATTTGTCTTTGTTACCTAAAAGTAATGTTCACAATTTACTACGGACCTGAATGCCAGATGTAAACTGCATAAAATTAAGCTGATTACTGCAGCTACAATTTAACTATAGAGAAGTGGCCTGTGAGAGGAGAATGAAGAAAATGATACTTTCAGTGATTCCTTACCAAAGACTCAATGAGAAAAAAGTAGTCATCTAATGCTACACACTTCCTCTGCTTCACTGTTCAGCTTCATTATAGAATTGTCCTCAAATGGCCTCTGTGTTAAAATAGTCTCATATCTGCTCCTAATATTTTGACTTACTAAAAATATTTAACAAGAATTAACATTTAATGTGAGATTATAGATCCAACTTTCACAAACTTCAACACTTGTTCAGATTAAGTCATATTCACTGTTCCACAGTCTAACCGTGTCTTGTGTGAAAAAGTGTCTCCTTTATCACTTTTGGATTTACCACCTTTCAATTTAATCGCATGTCTTGTATTATTAAGCCAGGGAGAATAGAAGCTCTAGTCCGCCTTGGCCATTTATTATTTGGTATACTTGTCATGTCCCGTTATTCCTGTAAGGTAAACGATCCCGGGCTACTCAAGTGTGTCTCAAATAATCTCAAGCTACTCAATGCCTCTAATTGTTCTTATTGACCCCCTAGATACCTCTTCTTATTCTTCAAAATCCCAAATTATGTTATGGGTGATAATATTCCTGAGGAGACTGCACCATTTATACAATGGCATATTTTCTGTATTATTCTTCAACCTTGTCCAGGGCTACTCAACACCAATGGGCCTGTGGCCTATTTGTTTGCGGCCCACGGAGCAGTTTGGATTTACAAGGGGCTCAGCATGCGGCCCATGGGTCTTTGGTTGATATACGTTTTAGTAGTGAAATTCCTGGACTGTCATTGCTCATTAAAAGTCCTGTCATGTGGGTGGAAATTGGGTAAATATTGCATTTTTATTAATATCAGCAGAACTGACCTAATTGAACCTGTGTGTTGTGTACTCTTCCCTTAATCTTTATATTCATGCCCATCAGTGTGAAAGAAGCTATTTGTACATATTTGTATATATATGCAACCACACTTAAGTTGCGGGCCTCGGCATCTGCTGTGAGGTATCGTGGCCCATAGGGCTTCCAAAGTTGAATAGCCCTGCCCTATTCCTTATGCATCCTAATATTTTGTTTGCTTTTTTTACTGCACCTGCACATTGATCAAAGATGTTTAATGAGCTGTTGACAATAATGCCCATGTCATGTTCCTAAACTGATACAATTTAAACCCTGTAACATATATAACTAGTTTGATTTTTCCCTCTAATGGACATTAGTTTGCATTTATACATATTAATAATCAAGGGTGAACTTAATTTGCCTTCATACTGCCCGTTCATCCAGTTTGATTAGGTTCCTCTGAAGATTTCAGTTTTCCATGGCCTTAACTAATCTGAATAATGTTATGCCATCTGCAGATACAGATATTTCACTGTTTATCTCCTTTTTCAGATTATTAATAAATATATTAACCAACATTGGTCCTAGTACCAAATTGAATGAAATTCTGCTGCTAAACCTTTGTCATAACAGAATACTGTTTCCCGTCTCTTAGTTAATTTTTGATGCATGACAATACTTAACCTCTCATCTCAGACTGTTTTCTCACTGGCCTCCTGTGGGAGACTTTCTCAAAGGTAATTTGAAAGTCTACATAAATTGTCAACCTGTTCTTTTTATCCATTAATTTACTGGCTCATTCTAGGAATAATAAATGCGTAGTGAGGCAGAATGGTTATCTCCTCCCTCAGTGAAGGAAAATGATTTATAAATATTTTCAGTTTTGCTTCCCTCCTTGCATTAAATACTGAGGTGATCTAACAGTCACTGTGCTAAACTTAGTTGCAGTTAGAAGTCTGGTGAAGTCTTCTTTCCACTCAGGCCACTTCATTGGCCCATTAAACTGAAAGCCTAGTGGAGAATTGAAATGTGGCATTTAATTTTCCTTTCCTTTAGGCTGGTTTGTGCGAGTCAACTTCTGAGTGTGTGCCTTGTGACAACAGAAAGGACTGCTTTCTTGTAATACCAAACACTGAACTTTTATTAGACTAAGGAAAACAATATTGGCTCGTTATGGGGCAGTCCCTAACATTATTCCCTATCTCTTTCTGCTTGGTGGGGCCTCCATCTTAATTTATTGTGGTCTTCACCCTGCCACCCGCTGTCTATCCAGACTGCACCTTTCTCTTTGAGGAATGATGTAGGTGTAGCAGGCAAGGTAGGTTTGGACGGTGCTCATGGATTAGCGGGCCTACTTATATATTTCTGACATCTCTCTACAATGGTACTGACTTCAGTGTAGCAGACTAGAGAGAAAAAACTGCAAGTTTTTGTCTTAATTAGTTTCTTCCTTAATTAGGAGAGTGCCCAATGTGTGTAAAGCCAGCGGCAGGTGAAGCGGGGGTGCTGTTGCTAGGGGTGCTGTTGCTAGGGGTGCACCCACTGGCTGGAAGGAATTAGAAACAAACACCCCTCGATACCCCCAGAGCAGGCTCCCCCGGGACCATGCGCGGGAAAG